GTGATTGGCTGATTAGAAATTAAGTGTTAACGAGCAGTTGGACAGGTGTACCTAATAAAGTGGCCGGTGAGTGTATGTTTGATTTAACCAGGTAGATCTCCCTTAAATTTAGATCTTTTATGGGAGACTTTAAAGTGTCCCTTAAAAAAAGGAGATTTTAAGATCTGAATTTTTTTACCTACACATATTTATTCCACTCAATTAATGCGTGATTTATTTATTTTCTATTATAAGTTTTATATTGTGATATATATCGTTACCGCCACTCATCATAATGTATATCGTGATATGAAATTTTTGCCATATTGCACATTCCTAATAAATAATATAAGGAATATAATATGTGAGCATCACATCGCAACGAGGATTAAGTCCAAATGTAAAGAAATATGCAAATATAGGATGGGCAACAATTGCATTTTGTCAAAATATAATGAATTAATGCCTTGTCAATGTATCATTTGAATGAACTGTCTGAAATATAATCCTAAAAATTTTTTTGAAGCATTGTTTTTAGCAGCAGCAACAAAAACCTTAATTTTGAGGAAAAATGCCCTAAAATTTTGAATTTTTCCGTGTAAGCTAACAATTTTTTGTTTTTTTCCAACTGGGAAATCTTAATGTAAAGATACAATTCGATGTTTTCTCTTTATATTAACATAAAAATTTACATAAAATTAGGATTCAGACCAAACAGTAATGTATTATTGTAACCAACAAAACAAATGAAGTCATATCTCTGGAAAAGTTTATGATCAGAATGATCCAGGTGTCAAAATGTAGCTTTTAAAGCCAGGAATCTGAAAATGTGATTAGGTCATTTTAACCAAATTTGATTTCATCTTCATTTCGATATGATGGCTCACATTTTTGGTCAAAGTTGAAGAAAGTCACTGTTGAGGGTCTCCAACCAGGCTGCAGACCCCTGGACTACCCCGATGAGACCGTGTCCACACTCGGAGTTTAAAACTTTGATGAATTGTAAACTGAAGCCAGTGAAGATTGAGTTGTGGCTCTTTGTTAGATCCAGGCCTGTGTGAAGCGCTGAGCGAGGAACGTAAACACAACAGCAGCTCGTTGGGAAACGGGTACAAGTCTGTATTCGACCGAGCCTTTGGGCTGGAAGTAAATCAAGCAGAACAAAAACAGCTGCGAGGCACAGGGAGGAGAAAAAATATGGAATAAGGGGTTGAATGAGCAGAAAGGAGGAGGACGTGGGGGCTGTGGGGGGGACGACACCATTATCACAGACCTGCGTTCCATCACACGACTCCAAACAAACACAAACTGATGAGAACGATGTGTAAACAAGCAGCGAGCGGCCAGCTGCGCAGCCTCAGCACACACAATATTTACAGTTTACGTGACATTAAACTGCAGGACAGAGACTTGAGCAACACTCACACTTTACACAACACAGGTCAACAAGTGCCGCAGGAAGACACAGAGGAAACCGAGAAAATAACTAAATAAAGGAAATAACGTTAACGGAACAAAACTGTTACACAAACACCAAAGTCCAAATTTCATAAATCAAGATTTTACTCACAATAGAAAACTCAAACATTTTTCACCCCTGGTGGATCAACGGTGAGGAATCATAGAAGCTGACCCATCTTCTACGTATTAAAAGATATAACGTTTTTTTCCTACTAAACTACAAATCAGTGCCCCAAGTTTTCTGTGGTTTCTGTAATAATGAAAAAAATGTTAAAAGAGCAATATCATGTAAAATCAAC